TGATAGTTTTGCTTATTCATAACAAATTGATAAGTTCCCAACTGATGTTCGGTTTGGTACTCTCTTTGGACTCGTAGAATAGATTTAATTTGTACCATTATAAGACTTTTTTTTTTATTTACGTAGGTATTATTATGTTGCTAACTTGGATAAGGATTATTATCTTGGTCGTAATTTAGTCAATTTAACGGAGACTTCGATGACAATAGTTAATTTGTAATAATTTGCCATTCGCTTATTATGTAAGATGATTAAGGGGAGGGGGTTCGATCGTGTCTGTTTTTCTTACAAGGAGAGGGAGGGCGTCTTGATATTTCTTTCATAATATCATAATATACCGCAAAGTTCAGATTATTAAGAATCTCGAGGAATCTCCATGTATTCCTTATCAAATATGAGCGAGTAGGTCAAACACGTCTTTCTTTTTCTTCAAATAAACAATTTCCGTAATAAATGAATGACGTATAAGAAACAACAAATGTATGTTTAGTTAAAAATGTAGATTTCGTCATTGTTAGTTTCTTGATTTTATAACAAACAATATAAGCCACACAAAAGCGATATCGCCATTGACGAAGCGTAGCAGTATCGTAACCAAAAGTCACGATATAGACTAGTCAAGCTCTTTCAGTCGTTTCATATTCTTAGGATTTGGAGACTGGCGTATTATTTATTGGTTGGTGTTGTCTCATTAGGATGTCATGGCAGCGGCGCCAGCCAATCCAAAAATGTTTAATTGAATTAAAGCGTAACTAATCCTACCTACAGTGCTATTAATAAACAAGTTTTAGCGTCAGAAAAATTTACGCTAAAATTGCAATTTTAGTTTTAGTCTATATGCATATTATACAGAGAATAAGCAAAAAATAAGAGAATTTCCTTCTAGGTGTAAATATTACTCCCGTAGAACCTCGTACTAGGTTAACCTTTGCCAAGTCTCTTAAATAATCTGAATTTAGACTAATACTTAGTTCATTCTCAACGTAAATTTATTCCAACGCTAAACCTTCTTTATTTTAATAACATTACTATGGACTATATGACCAATTGAAACACTGGTGTTTGGTGTAGACAAAGCGTTTCTCGAGTTTGTCATGCCACGAGTGCTGTGTGCGACTCAATCGTCACACTAGTCCTGTCTGGCATCCGCTTTGGCATTTTATTTTGTTGTTTTACGGACGACAATGTATGTAGCCACGTAAACGTCGCAGGCATGTAATGATATACGCAGCTAAGTAAGAATATCCAAGTAAATCGACCAATATACATTTTTATATAAATTTTTTGGCTACATTGTTGTCGCCATAGCGTTTTAATTAAATATCGATATATCTTTTTAGATTCCACTACACCAGACCAATTTCGTTTACGAGTTTTGTTATGTACTCCGTTACTTCTGATTTTATTTTTTCCTAGATGAAATCTGTTGAGATCCCTTATAGTTTTTTCTAGCAAGCATCCGCTTATGAGGTTTCATTCCCACACACACACAGGTAAACAACATTTTAGAATCCTCTACCTGGTCCATTTTATCTTTGAAACATTCCTTAATCAGTACTGAACTATAAACTATAACAGTACGTGTAATAGTTGCTTTATTCTGTTTGATAAAAAAATCCAATTTGAATTTAATTTTGTTATGTTTTGCGGCAAAGTAAGATTTTGAGTAAAAAAACGTTAGGAATCTTCTGTAGGTATCTTTTATCCGTGTGCATTTTTTTTGATCTTATATATTATTTATTTTATACGATTTACTATGTTAAAATTAATTATAACTTTTTAATGTAGTAGTTTTCATGTCATAGCTTAAATAATGGATGGAATTATTTAAATCCAATTTAATTTTTATAAAATTTGTGATCACAGTTCCAACATAACCTTACTGAAAGATAACCAAATGGAAAAATAAGTGATATACGAAAAAATAATTTTGACAAAAATATTCCAAGCCTTTTTGCCTTTTTTCACTTTCCCGTTACATCGACTATTTATTATGAACTCTTTACGAACATTTTTACAATGAATGGAATTTTAACCTATTTTACGTTGCGTTATCATAAATTACAACAGATAATGATAAAATTAATACGATCATATATATTACGACTAAATTGCCACGACCAATATTATCACCGTCAGAGTTAAGAGTTACCTATTAATGAAATAAAAAACTAGGGTTCGTAATAATCAAGATTTTTTTTTTGATAATTATGCGATAAATATCTGTAAATTAACCATACTTATTCGCAATAATTTTTAAATATAGAAAGGCATCCACAATTGAATAAATTTTCATATTTGTTATTTTAAATTTATACTAACAAAATAAACAAAATTAATAATTAAAAATTCACATAAAAAAAGCGAAATGAAAATATAATTAAATAAGAACAAACTTTCTTTCTTTCAGTTTTTTGTTTTTGGTGTCCATCCTAGACAATTTTCTTTATCAGAACAACTATATTTGATAGATGTTTAAAGATGATTCCCCTTTAATAAAAAGTCTTAAAGTACAATACAAATTTGTGTAGTTTTTATAATTATCACTCCGAACCCCGATAAAAACGAATAAACTTGTGATTCTTCGATTTTTTTATGTCTGTCCGACTGCCTTGTTCAATCAAACTATTTGGCATGATCCTTTCTTAAATCAGACTAGATAATACATTCTCATAAAAAAAACGTTCACGTGGTAAAAATATAAAAACCAGTTCAATGAATTACATGTTTGTGTTTATACAATAAAAACGTATTCTAGGTACATAATCTAAAATTTACGAAACAGACTTTTTTTTCACGTAATACTGCATTTTTTTCTGTCAATAGTAACACCAGATACCGTTAATATCAATTCATAGAATAATTATTTCTGATTTCAAAAGTAAATAGTTTAGCGATTTTTTTTGTGAATTGGTGTGTTGTCGACGTGAGCAAATTCTTATATTAATTATAGATTATAAAACGTGATAATACATATTATTCTGGCAATGATATGATTTATGTAAATGTCATTACTTATGATAAAGAGCTCTAAGTTTCTTTCCGATGGCCGTTGGGTTGGAAAGATTCTAGAATTACGATCACGCCCAAGACAACGCTCTGTGGTGAGGCCCCCACCAGGCGGGCCTACGATCTTATAAAGGTTGCGGGGAGCCACTGTATACCGGTCGAGCAGGACTGATCGGTGAATATCGTACGGCTATTGATGATGATGATGGTTCTTATGTATTAATCAGAGAAAATATGAAAAGAAAAACAAATAATAGATACGTCGCTATCTGTCAGGGTTCCCAGAGGGGGATACTGAATGTTTCGAAAGGAGAGGAAGCAAAACAATTTATAAGTGATCCCAGCGATTTCAGGTAGACAACGGTCCAGAAGGACCTTAAATAGAAATCATTAGACGCAGCGACAGAAACGGACAAGGGGAGCCAACTTCAGATGATGGGTTCAGGAATAAGAAGATAGTGCACATTAAAATTATTATAATACGGGAAATAAAGATAAAGTCGTATAATGTAAATTGTAACATGGCGGCCTGTTTTTGGGGATGAATTAAGAAATAATGTTTTGGAAAATTATATTGTGTCGTATTTATTATTATTATTGTGACTAATATAATAAAAATGAAATATTTGGTTATTTGTTTGTTTGTTCGCATCAAATAAGCTCCGAAACTACCGAATCTAATTTAAAAATACTTTCATCTACAGAAGCTACATCGGCTATAATTTACGCGGATGAGTCGCGGGAAGCTATTATTTAATATTTTATTAAAATATCAACTGGTGCAGAAAATTTATAACATGTCCTTTTGCGATCACATTAAGAACTGCTTTTTCTTACACATTCGTATATTGGAACGCTTTCAGGTTTTAGAAAACAAAATATGAATCAAATTCCTTTTATTTATGAACATTAGGCAGCATAATGGTTGTTTTTATTTTTGTAATATAAACAGATATTTTATAAAGGATTCATGAATTGTTACATTATTAATCACAATCTATTTGGAACTTTATTGTGAAGGAAAATTGATGCTTAAAATTCACAGCTATTAACAGTACGTAACTTCTTTTATTTAATTTTGAATGGTGACTGGAATTTTGTTGCGAAAGATCTTTTGAGTGTCAGCAAAATTATTGTACCCCAATGACAATACATAATTATGTTTTATTAACTACTTTTATGTCAATGTTTATAATTTATACAGTGCTTTAAATACTTTAATATTATGATCAAGTGCTTTATGAATACAGTGGCATGAACTGGCATGTAAAAATACATTTTAGTTCTTGTTGGTACACATATTGTATATAGATCGTTAGCAGTACGAAGCCCACTAATGACCTACTGCTTGGGTCTCCACTATAATCAGATAAGCTACATCCCGCAACCTTTGATTGTATTTATTTTATACATATTACTAGCTTTCCGTCAGCGGCTTCGCCCGCGTGGTCCCAAGGGAACGGTTTTTATAAGTTTCGCCGTATTAATTTATTTGGATATAATAGGGATGATGTGTCTGGGTTAAAAAAAATGACATTCTTTTTGGTTCGTCAGTTAGATAGTAGAAAAGTATTAGATACGTATTTTTTTGGCTTCAATTTAAGAAGAAATGATAATAAGCATTAAAGTTGAGGAATGGGGGCTCTCTACGTCACAGTTCTGTAGAAGATGTATAAAAGCGTGACGTTATGCGACATTTCGACTCAATATATCGCCGTAATTTATTGATTATGCAAAAAATTAAAAATACGTGTTTATTATTTTTCAATAATCTACCTGACGGAGGAACAAATAAAATGGTTACTATGGTAACGTTTTAATTCCCTGTACAAACTTGCACTCCCATTTTCGTCCCTTTATTTGCTGTTTTAGGGATAAAATATAGCCTATGTACACCGCACACGACGTAGCTTCCCTTGGGTGAAATTTTAAATATTCGTATACAATTGTTACGTGAAATTGAATCAGATTTTCTATCCTTTCCTTCGCAGGCGGTTAAAAGAAGACTGAACCTGAGTGAGAGTAGTTCTGGTAGCCAAGGGCACGTGGTGCCTATGAAGGCAGACTTCAAGACGCCCAAACAGAAACGAGTCAAAGTGCTCGTCCCGTACAGCCGACCGTCCAGTTCTATGAATAAAAAGTACACCGAACGTTCCAGGTACATTACTTGATCAAAGGTAATTGATTCTACCATTTCAGAACATCATTATAATATAATAATCATTCATTATTTAACTGATAAACAAACATTACTTAAGTCTGAATAACGTTCGTCAAAAGTCCGTATCTCCTAACTGGAACAAACGCGTTCCTCAGGATTCCAAAATTTCTTTTTAAAAATCACGCCTCTATTTGCATTACGTTGTTTTAAAGGTGTAATAAAGCATCCCACCTTTGTTATTATTTTTCATTCAAAGCGTATTCAATTCGATGTAATCCAAAATAGTTTTTTATTTGTGTCTTAGTGATGTTCAACAGAATGGGGGTGTAGACAACTTTTTTATATTTTTATTTTATAGATATTTATAAAACACATCTAAAAAAATATCATTCATATCAAATTTCCCGCGAAAATGCCACTACACTCTGAAACGAATATCCTTCTATTTATGATTAAGGTTAAATTCTCTAAGTTCTGATACGAGTATGAAAGGGTGTGTAAAAAGGGTGGCGTTACGCGGTGTTTGCTGTCGCGTGATAACGAGCACATAATATGTCTTTGTTTTTTCAGAATTTTAAATAAGCACAAAAGTGTGATAATCGGTAATGGTATATACACTACCAGAAATATATTAATATGTATTTATTTTCGTTTATTGTCTACACCCGTATTAAATCATACATAAGCATACAAACTATCAGAAATCCCCATTAAATATTTTGTTAAGAATGCTTGTGTGGACGTTTACGTTAAGTCGATCGGAGCTTTCGGTAGCACGAAAATAATACCAATCTGGAAGGAGGTGACGATTTGATCTCAAGTAAAATTATTCAAACGACGGCTTCTGTATTCCCGTTATTGCAGAGTTTTATATTGATTGTTTTTTAACCTTGTTTCAGGTTTGACACATCATTAGGTTTACTTACTAAAAAATTTGTCGAGCTACTTAAGACATCGCCCAACGGCGTGCTCGATTTAAACATAGCGGCGGAGCATCTGTCGGTTCAAAAACGTCGTATTTACGATATCACTAATGTTTTAGAAGGTATAGGAATATTAGAAAAGAGATCGAAGAATAATATACAATGGAAATATGGTGAGTGAATTGTGCATATATTTAACACAAATTATTTGTAAAATTAATAATATTTTTATTGTTAATAAGAATTGAACAATTGTATATATTCACTAAAGGAAACTCGATAGTTTGACAAGTAGTACTTGAATAAGATTATTTCTTAAGTGGTTCATTTTAAGATAGATTCTGTTTACAATTTTCGTTAAATAAGATTTCATAGAGAAAAGATGCGTAGATCAAACGAATTACTACTATTACTGCAATACTCTGATGAACTAATATAACACCAGAGTTGCGAACGCCTCTCTCTAGTCATAAGTTTAGCCATATGATGCGTCAGTTAAGAAATGGCTAGAAAGTTAATTAAAATGTATGTATTTAAATTGTAAACGTTTATTTTTACTACTTTGACGTGCATTTTAATCACGACGAACGAATGATAAGAATGATGATTATGAATTTGACAGCAGTATTATCAACTTAGTGGTATATCCATTGAAAGACCAATTACAGACATGTCAAAGTAGTATATTAAAACCAAATATCACCATAATATTTGCTGAATAAATGACGCTTGAGAACTTCTATTCTCTTAAAACAAAATTTAGTCTATTTTCGAAATGCTAATCATTTTCATCGTTAAAAATATCGACTCCAAAGAAACGTATATCGATAATTTATGATGCAACTGAGGTAGGATCTGACACTGCCTCTGATGCAAAGATAATCTTCACGGATATGATTTTAACAAAATTATGAGAACGATTCGAAATTTTCCGAACTCACGTATTAGGACAAACAGAATAGGCCCTCAGTCGTTAATTGGTACGAGATATTATTATTATTATTATTTATTTATTTATTTTCACGGGTAAACAAACAGTGATACAATTTACATAATTAAATATGACATATAATTGTACACGAACGCCGTTCACCAGATCAAAACAAACTAGCTTAAAAGTGGTCGCACATTAAGTTTTCTAAAATCCATAGGAGAGCTTTTAACTAGAATTACAAATCTTACAATTTGCCAGTATATTTGAGATTACTTTGCAAAGGCACATAACACATGTTTATTAAACTATGTATTTATAAGGTACAAACAACATAGAAACAAACAAAAAACAGATATCAAAAATTATAATTTTTTGACAATATATTCATTCATATTCTATCTATCTATCCTCTATCTATATTGACCTTCAATATTACAGGAAAATACTTGTGTGTGGAGTCTGTTTCACGACAAAACCCGCGCCATGACTCATTGCCTAGTAATAAAGGCGAAAACGTTGTTTATTTATTTACCAACATCTTATACATTTATACAGTATACAGAAAAAAAATCTTATAAACTAACTTAGTAAATGCAAAGACAATTATAGGTAAACACTGCATGCAATCCAACAACTCAATCTATATAAAAGTGAGGGGGCGTCCATACATTACGTGAGGTGTTTTTTAAATTTTCTGTCCCTCCCTCCCCCCCTGGTGAGATGTCGTGAGATTTTATTCAACCCCCTCCCCCATCTCCCAATCTCACGTGAGATTTTTCAAAATGCAATTTGATGAGTACTTGCGAGTATTTGCCTTGTTGTAGTATCGAGTATCGCTTTTGGAAGTATCGATACCTACTCGGTATCGAAAGTATCGTTCGAACCCTACAAATATGGTGGTTTGACATTCAGTAGATGTATAGCGTCGAAGTATGAATGAAATTATTTTCTTTTGAACGAATTAGTGAATGATCTTAATCGTATACGATTACGCTTAAATCTTAAATCTTAAGCATGTACAATCTGGATTAAATGGACTAAAATAGTTTTTTTTTTTGTTTCAATCAGAAAAAAAAATTGCGTGATATTTGCCGAGACCCCCCCTCTCTCCAACGTAAGATTAGATGAGATTTGCCTCGACCCCTTCCCCTCCTTAAACATCTCACGTAATTTATGGACGCCCCCTAACAGAAACAGTATATCAACTACATTATACTTATTCCTAATTATTAAAATAATTATACAGTATTTTTTTTTATTTATTCTTTGACAACCAATTGAAAACCAGTTGTGATCTGAGGGACTTGTTTAGTGAGACGTACTCTTATGTCAGGCGTGGGTGGCGCAGCGGGCCTGGGCGCGTGGCGGGGGGACATGGACGAGTGGCGAGCGCGCCGGCTCCGACGGGAAGTGCGAGCGCTCGCCGCGCACGAGGCGAGGGTGGCGCGCGCCGTGCAACTGGCCGAGACAGCGCTGTCCCGCCTGTCCGCCGACCACGGCGCGAGGGCTTACATCACGTACGCCGACCTCCGGTCCATACGCGACTTCAGGAATCAGACGGTTATACCAATCAAGGCGCCACCTGATACCAGGCTCAGCGTGAGTTTTGATTTCTTTTGTGTTGCCTGATGATAACTGACTTAGGTTGATGCCCCCATTGTTTGCAATCTGAGAAACTATGCTGAGCTGACCCAATGTAACAAGATTGTTCCACTTTAGCTTTTAATTTTTTTATCTGTCTCATCCTCATCACCAGCCTATTAACGTCCCTGCCGGGGCTCAGGACTCTATGGATGGAATCGAATTGAATAGGGGGTGTGGATTATGACCCACCACGCGCCCCAGCGCGCATTGGTGGGTATTAACGACTGCAGATGCAAACACGAAGGAGTTCGAGATAATAGATTTGTGGTCACCCATCCTATGACCGGCCATTGCGAAAGTATCGCAGGCCTAGCGCGCTAGCTACTGCGCTATCGAGTGATAATTTATCAGTCTATTACATTACTATTGGGGATTTTTGTATAATATACAGGACAATACACATAGTCATAGCTTACGTGGACCCACTGCCCTATGTGGTGGAGGTAAATATTCGTAACTGGGATTGATAGCTTAATATGTCTTCCGAAGCAGGAGTTCGATATAATAGTGTTTGGACACCCATCTACTTTTAAACTCATTACTTTATCACAATCATAAATATTGAATTAATATTACAGGGAGGACCCCTGTAATATTAGTAATTACAGTATATAAAGTAATGAGTTTATTGAATGAGCAGCTGCATCTTCAATCAGCTGTCGATTAATATGTTGCCACTGCATTGAGAAGAGTGTCACACGCGTCAGAGCATTCCTTGTCGGTAACATTCAATTTTAGAACAAGAATTTCTATGGCAAATAATTTTCAATACATAGCAGGTATAAAGATTTATTTAATAGTAATTTGATACAAATTACATATTAGATAACTGATAGCAAGTTAATGGTGAAGTCGTCTTCCTTAGCAGGGTGACTCTCATGCTGATTGCAGCGTCGTCATTTCCGAAATTTGGATAGTATTACTGGTCAGGTCAATGTATTAAATAAGTTTTATATAATGCAAGGGCTACTTAATCTGTAACTAATGTTATAATATCAAAAATTGCAGTCTTCTTATTTGATATATAAATTTCTACACCGTGGTTGGTTTACAGGTGCCGCATCCTGACGAGAAAGGGTACATGATACATTTGAAGTCCATGACGGGTGAGATCGAAGTCTTCCTCTGTCCAAAAGAAAGGCCTCCTTCGCCGACACCCAGTAAGTGGATCCAGTTGCTGCTATATAACTTTCAGAATAGGCCCAATAAATTTCATAGAACTGAACAAAAAATTACACTAATTATAGATATTGTAATTATCATTAAAGTTTTGATTGCACTCACAATGAAATATGACATCTAGCATTTCCGCTTTCTGAAGTTCTAAACATCAATTTTTTACACTTCGATCCTGAAAAGTTACAGGCAGAACAAAGAACTAGAGAAGTGTTTTGAATTTAAAGTATCCAAATATTAGGGATGGGGCAGTGCAAATCGCCTTCAAAGATTTTATTGATTCCCGTCCGAATGGTTTTTTTAGTAAGGGTATCAATGAACTAGTTATGAGATGACAAAAGTGCATACATAACAATTTTGTCATCTTTGATTAAATAAATAGATTATATTAAAAATATTCGACTTTTTGTTCCTCCCATACCAAACACCAATTTCATATGTAAGGACATAATAATGTCTTCTTATTCTTTACATATTCTAAACTTCTTTCCTTGCGCCATAATTCGAATGTTATAGAATGGGTTTTTAATGAAATGGAATGATTCTAGGTCTGGTTCCCTTGGTTCAACCCTACACTTCGAAAGCCGGGGCTTTGATTCCACGCTTTTTGGTGTCTTTCTCACTTGCGATGCATCTCGATACTTTCAGGGCAGGACTCTCAACTCTGAATTTGCACTGATATGAACAACACATCATCATCATCATCATCATCATCATCATCAGCCCTTTTACATCCCCACTGCAGGGGCTCAGGCCTTCCTATATGAACAACACAGCAAACACAAATATACTCTCTCAATGTAAAATAAGAAAAAAGTAGTCGAGTGTGATGATTAATGAATACATATGTTTAAAAAAAAAACATAATGTATAACAAACCTGATAAAGTTATTTTTGTTGTCCTTTTCAGCATCAAGTCGAACTTCGGATCCGTTGCTAGAAGACAATAAGGTGCTATTGGAGTCGCTCAAAGCGCATCTACAGTCGCTGCCGTTTAGTTCTGTAACAGCAGAATTTGCGTAAGTTTCTGATACGCTTTGTATTCAGTTTTTATCCTTTAGAAATGGAGTCTGGTATGTATTATGAATACGATTCTGGTATGCAAGTTTGAAACTTTTATATTTCCTACAAGTTATATCATTAAGCGACATTTGAAACCTGTTATTCAATCGAAAAAGAATATTTACTTCAAAATATGCTGTGTTTACACGAACACTCTTCATCATCATCGTCATTATCATCATCATCGTTCATTATCACCATCATTTTCATTATCACCATCATCATTATCATCGCAATCACCAGCCCTTTTACGTCCCCATTGCAGGGGCTCAGGCCTTATGGATGGTTAAGGAGGAGGGTGCAATGACCCTCCACACTGGCCCTGGATTGGAGGGCATTAACGACTGCAAATGCGACCTCGACCAACGGCTTAACGTGCCTTCCGAATCACGGAGTAGCTTGTAATTATATTTTTTATGGTCAAAGTTACTTTAGAACTACGATAGCGGGCGGTTATCCACTACGCCACCGACTTACTCCATGCTACACATGAAAACTCTTCATTAAAGATATTTATCTAAATTCAAGTCGAAAAATTCGAATTACGAATTCAAAGACGGTTCTATAAATACGCACTTTATAAACGTATAAACATAAAATTAAAAATAAAACTCATTATAGTACCGCCAAGTGTATCATAAAACTCATTATAGTACCGCTATCTTTTTTTATTCATGAAACTAGTCTATGGTTTTAGGCTGAATATGAAAAAAATGGCGCACGCATCCGTAGTTAGAACTTCATTTCCCGCGCTTCCCATTTCTTTTATTTGCCGATCGTCTTTTTGTATTCGGGATTCCAAAATATGACTTCCTTGTAACCTACCTACTTTGTTTAATGTGTATGAAAGTGCATATAGCTTTGGTATTAAAACACTCGAGTCAACCTATATACAGACCGATAAACAGACTCGTGTTTTTATACCCCTTCTTATATGACAGTTGCATAAACTATTAATGTACATCGTTGTTTAGTACACCTGTGAAGCGAGAGCCTGAGGAAAGCAGTGAGAGTTCCCGCTTGTGTGTGACCGCGGGCGCGTCACGGACGCCGTGCGTTACCGATCCCACTCTACCGCTCGCCACTCCGCTCTCCGCTCCGCTCTCCGCTCCGCTTGTGCCGACCACGCCACCTGGACACAGCACACAACAACTAGCGGATCTCTCCACACTATCTACGCCCGACGGTTAGTATTTGAGTCAATAAATCGGTTTATGCCGAGTTTGATGATTATTGTAAAAGTTCTCCACTAAGACCTCTACTACAAAGTTGAAGAAAAGAACACTTTTTATATCTTAAGCAAGGTTAATTCAAGGGGTAACTAACTTTTTAACAATATAGAATTATAAATACAAGTTTTATTGTGGCAAAATTCTGAAACATATTTGGTTTTTTCATTTCCATATACCGCTTAGACTTCATTCCTTGGTACATAATCAATAAAAAATTGTGATTTACGCCCCCTCTTAACGGTAAAATTCTTCTTATAAATTAACAAATGCATCAGCGAATTTACGTCACAGATAAAAATTGTAAAAAGAAATAGCCTTTCCTTTGACCTACTGTCATAACTCTTAATCTGTTATTGGTCAATAAAGTATACAATAAATTGTATATTTAATAAATTTTGTATTTACAATGCTATACATTCTTCGCTAAGAGTATAATATAAATGTTGAATATTATCTGCACAGCGGACTGTATAGCGCGGGGTCGACTACGAAACGCTTTGATAGCGGACAGTGACGACTTCGCACCCATCGGTCGTTTCCAGCTCCAGACAGAAGACCAGGAATCAGGTAACACACGATTGACACATTGAGGATGTTGAAACATCTAATCCATTGACATAATTTTAAGTTTTTAATCGATATTTTATAGAAAACTTCATATTTCGATTTGGTGGCGGTTTCCATTAATTATCACATATTTTTTTGTTGAGTTGGTAAAATCGATTCATCACTCTAGTCAATAACTTGGGGGGTCAGTGTTAGTTTGAATAAGTACACTACACTTATCTAATCTTTGTAATGACATAGCAGATGATGCAACTTATGCATTTTTTGAGTTCTTTCTTTATAAAAAACGAAGTCTTATAGACTAAAAATTATCTATTTAAAAAATATAAAAATTTGTAATATCAGCTTGAATTGTTGGTTGATCGAAAATGTTTTATAATTATATGTTATTCATTTGGATCAATATGTTGGATATAGAATTACGTGTGTATTATAAACTTTTAAACTTTCGCGTTGCATTATATTAGATTGTATAAGACGGGTATTAACGCGATCAAATTTCCGATAGTTAGGTTTTTCACCTATATTTCCCGTTGTTACGACCAGGTTACACCGCCCGTGGTCACGGTTACACGGGTCGAAACGTCGGGAAATATAGGTAGGTGAAAAACCTAACTATCGGAAATTTGATCGCGTTAATACCCGTCTTATACAATCTAATATGTGTGTATTGATTGTATCAAAGTTTGATATTAAAAGAAGGTTCAGGCTTTCATTGCTTAAGGTCTTCCATTTGACAAATAATTGTGATAAAAGTAGTATCTAGCAGAAAAAATACAAACAAGTAATAAGTTCTGATGGATGCTGATTAATCAAAATATTCAAGTGTGACAAAATTTATGTCGTTCTGTTGCATATATTTAGAAAATTCTGAGACACCAATAGAGATAGAGGCTGAATTCAATGAAGCAGCTTTGTAAACAGTTCAGTCTAAATTAATTTTTGTTGAAAAATTTGAGTTATAAAGTTAAAGTCGGTATAAAGATGTGATTTTGGTATATGGACAAATAATTATAATTTAAATTTGAAACTGCCAATTTCTAATAATTTACAGAATATGTATTTTTTAATTCTTAATCACATTTCATCGGTGGTGGTGATGGTAAAAGACAGCTTATATGGTCTCGAAGTGTTTAATTTCTAACTTTACTATTCATTAGACTATTAATGTTAATTTAATACTAGTTCAGCAAGTGTACGCAAATGAGGACCACACGTTTCGTGGCTAGCACTCCGGCTGTGAATTGTGTTCACTGTCACATCACAGTCAGAGTTCTAGCTACGCGACGGGGTGAGGCATCCGGCAAGACTGAAGATGTTTACGCTATGACGTCATACTCTGTGTTACGTCATGTACGAAGTGCGTTTTAGTAGCAATCGTCTACACGTATCTGTAATTATATATTTGTTTTATCAAAATCGTAAATCTCAAGTTATACCAGTCGTTTTGTAATTTTTACATCATTAGACGTTTTTATTTAAGACTTATGTAGTTACTTCAAATTCCCATTGGAAGAAAGTTCCAATGCAAAATAGGCACAGTTTTAACGAAGCTAGACTGGTTCGTACATAAATCTACTAAAATATTTTGATTGTACTAGAATATTGCGGCATTGTGAAAGTAAAGTAAATTTTTGAGTATAATGAAAGTAAATTTTCATTTTGTAACTTGTTTATTAAAATTTTAATTTATTGTAAATCATCTTTTTGTTGGAAACTTGAAATAATAATATTATGTTACCTTAGACAGTATAACATGTAATTATCTTTGTTTTACGGCGTGATTTTGAGATAGATTCAACAAGTTATTTATTTGGATGGTACTAAAACGCACTTCACATTTTAATTGTATATGCATGCTTTATCATGATACCCGCAAATGTCATCACATCACGAACGGCTTCAATGATCACTAACAGTGACTAATTAATGTAATTGTTGTGCTTAACAGATTGTAAAACGCCATGCTCTACTTACTCGTGGTGCATGTTAATTTTGTAAATATCAGTTATATGTTGTGCTATGACAATTCGATATCAAATGTGTTGATTTTTGATACGTACGCGGTCTTGGTGTTATTGTTGTTCATATCAATTGTGAATATTGTCTGCTTCATGTATTGGAAATTACAATATCATGACCATACAGATTCATTAAAATAGAGGCTCGGTCTGATATATATAAGAGATCTAATCAATAGGCTCTTTAACATGAATAAATTGTGCTGGTTTAATAGGGATGGTGTTATAAATATGTGTACCGCTGTCCCACTTCAACAACTGAATTTGCTTATCGTTTAAGTGGGCGTGGTAAGTGAAAGTTTCGTCACATAGCTAATGGGGTGCTTTCATTTCAGTGGTGATGTATTAACATAACGCCCGTGGTGTGGCGACACATTATGATCTCACCGATTAATATGGACGTCTAGTCTTATTTTCTTCCTAAGCTAAATCAAGGGGTCAATGGATATATTTTTATCAGATTTCCAATATTCATTGTTCATATAGAGCAATTGAAATAACGCAAACCTTCATAGATTTATTGAAATAAAATAACAGTTATTGTGTTCAATTCACAATAAAGGATCTGTCAATATGTCAGATGCCGGAATTTAAGTTTGTAGAGAATGAGTACTGTCAATTGATTATAATTTTAAACTCATTTTCAAGCTTTGAGTTATTTCGATTATACAATTGCCTTATCAAATATAAAAATGTAGAAACCCATCGTTATTTTTCATGGTTAATCATGTTTTATATTGTTTTAATGATATCATTTCATTAACTATTAAAAACTAATACTTCTGTAGTGCGTTTCTTAACTTTCAAATACTAAACCTCGTAATTTGTAAAGCAATAACATAACAGTTGACTTTAATTCATAGTAATGTGCAAGCCATAATATGTTTTGTACATATTAATGGTGACGGCTGATAATTAGGAAGTTAATCTTGTTATCTAAAAACTGGTCTATTCTACAGTTCTTTATTTTGCTTGAAACATTGGTCTAGATCCGTTTAAAATCATCTAATTTCTTTAAATTAAAGTCAGCTTCACTGTTTTATAATGACTCTAAAGTTGAAAATTAAATGGGTATTAAGGTTTTATTTTCAATCATTTGTCACCCTATAACATCTCTAAATATTTGGGTTACCACTGTCATGATTCAGAAAATTTACACAGAATAAAATGAAATCAAAACAAACTAGCGAAAACGTTGATTAATTTATTATTTTTTGTAGTTGATTCTAGTCTTCAATACGGGCTATGTTAAAATTGTGAATTAATTACTAAAAAAAAAAATGCAGTTTGATCTTGAGATGAACTTTTACTAGTAAAAATGTCTAGTGGCATGATTCGCGCATATTCTTTCAATTAATAATCCTAGATGCAACATCACCTATATATTCGTACTCGAAAACGGTCCAATACTGACGTCATATAGAGACGTTGGTAGGCATTTATAAGAAAAACTTTATTATATCCAAAGGTAAACTGCTTAACCAAATCAACTTTAATATAATTGATTTACTACTCAGTTTCTGTAACTAATTTGATAGAATACGACTCATTGCGATGTGTCAACGTTTCGATGCGATGTATGTGCATTTACATTCATTGAAATAAAACTCCATACTTTTTTAATTTTACTATTATTTTGACATTCGTACATATTATGTATTAATAAGCATATGTTGTTAAGTATCTTAAGCATATGTTTACGAATAATAACAAATCTAATTTACTTTGGTACAACTATAGTGGTTTTGTTGTTAGTTTTGCTTATTACGCGTTTTGTTGCGTCTAGGGTATATTTTTGAATCGAAGTGCTTATTGCTCAAAATTTTATGAACTCAACTTTAGATTTGGTTGATTTAGTTCTCAAAGTACTCTTATTTGTTAGAATAGAATGTTGTTTCTTTTTGAAACCATTTTTTAATTAAGAGAAAAATATTTTAGTAAAGTAAAATAAATCGGAAACATACAATGTCGGAGATTTGAACGTTGGATCGTGCATCCAAGCTGTGTGATTTAGAGCGTACGCTACGGCCGCCACATGTAAATTTGTTTAGGGATCAAATGCTCCAGTCATTCAAATAATGGATCATAAATCGTGGATCATTTGGTGTGAACGGCTCCAGTTCTACACGACACGCGCACGAAGGGGTTAATAAGCAAAAAAATCACGTTTATATACAGTAAAATATTTATTTTATTCTGTTAGCGTTTGTTGTTGCAGCGGCAAAAGAAATACATCATCTTTGAAAATTTAAACATTCACGGTTCATGAGATTACACCCTGGTGATAAACCGGCAGCGAAGTCTTAGTAAAAGGATTCGAATGGCAGCTTAGATGTAATTTCCATATTACCCGCTCCTGTAGAGCGCGCTCTTGCCGCGCCCGATCCAGAGCGCATTTGAAATCTTTTATCAGCGCAAGACAACGTTTTCATGTATATATCTATATTAATATTACAAACATGAAAGATTCGATTGTTTGTTTGTCAGCAACGAATAGCCTCCAAAACTATTGGATCGCTTTTAAAGCTACACTACAAGCTGTGAACTTAAGCTATATTTAATCCTGAAAATTAAATAAAGGGATGAAAATAAGAGTGCAAGTTTGTATGGGGAATTAAAAAGTTGACATAGTAACCAATGCTTACTCAATTCGTCGTTGTAATTATATCGGTGTCATGAATTGACATGAATCGAAAGCTTAATGTATAATAAAATATAATACAGTCTTCTATTGTTTTCTAAAAGAAATGAAATTATAACGACTCACTGTAAATACCTAGTAGCATATTTAACAGGCGTTAGTAATAAGTAGCCGTTAATGAAGAGGGAGGGGAGGGGAGGGGAGGGGGGGGGGGTTCCTGGGAGGGGCAGGCGGCGGCCGCGAGTTGTGTCCCGTGCGGCTGCAGTGTGATACATGTGTGTAGCACCATGGGATTCAGCTCACGGCCCGCCGCCACTAACTCACCACTAACATTACACCGGCCGGACCATCTCTAACTACACTAACCACATCGAATCATGTGCGCTTCGGATAACGTGTACGTGTTCCAATCGTGTTGGTGCTCGACGCTTTACACTTTATTACACTTCATTTCGCTATCGATTCGTACCGTGGGTTGATATGTCGTCAGTAGCGGGCATTCACTGTGAATAGTGTCGCCTTATAAGCTGTACCGTCATTAACAAATTAGTTTAAAAAAAACCTTTTGAACTAGAGAACCTAAGTAATTTTTTTAAGATGCTTTAAGATGGAAACTTTCTTAAGATCCATTATAGTTACTATAATCGCTCTGGTACGATTCGAAAGCTAAAATGTAAGTTCTATGCGAGTTGTTAGGCTATGCGTTGTGTTGGGTCACGCTAGCATACTTTGAGTTGGAAATTCTAGTTTGCTTGAAGTTGTCATGCCCACTGTATATACAGTAGGGTTTACGAAAAGACTTGTTTGAGCTTTTGACAATTTCAACACAATGTATGTCGAAGTCCGTTTCCACATTGTAAAAATTAGTTTCTTAATTATCTTTGTGTTACTTTCCGCTTTCAAATCTGTCTTTGTGGAAGCGCACTTTCATTAAAACACCACTTTACAGTTTACTCATTGTAAAGCTGCGTGCAGATTGTGTGCAACATGTCACGTGACCTGAAAGCTTTAACATGTGTGCTGTTTTTGTGTTTCTGACAAGTGTGGGAAATGTTGCATTTTGTGTCGTTGCAAATAATCTGTGAGTAGTCTTAAATATATAAAGTTTATATTTCATGTTCAATATATAGTTTGTTTAAAAAAACAAACAAGTTCAATAAAGAGGTAGCGTGAGTCCAGGAAGTTTTGAATTCATCATTAGATTGTAAAGACGCTTAGCCATCAAAATATTCCAAAAAAAGTAATGTTGTGTTTGGTTTATCATTGAGAGAAAATGTATGTGGAAAAATGCGTTAAATGTATTTTCTTATGTTAATTAATCATTTCGTTGTCGATATGATGATGTGTGCTACTTCTTGACGAATCTTGATGAATTTAAAAAGAAAACTGTTCTCCATTAACGCGTCGAGTGCCGTATTCTAACTTTATGTTCAATGATGTACAATGTAAGAGTAATGTGACCGTTAATAGATTTATTTATTTGTCATATGTTAATCATTATATTTTTGGTACTTTGATTTCGCTTTGCGAATATATTTTTTTCTATAAGCCAATGTAGCACCATTCTGTCAAGTTTCTAGTTCTAAAACAACATGTTTGCAAATTATGCACCATATTTTGTATAATTTCTTAAAGCGTCCGTTTTATTTTGCCACATATTATACCTCCAGCACCTAGCATATTTTAAACGCGCAGACGTGCGTTTACTGCGCCGTAGATGTTGATTTTTGCGTTTTTTAAGTTTCGAATGCGCGTACAACGCGACATAAACGCCCTTCACATGCGCATATAGTTTAAAAAAGAAAGTGTAAAAGTAAAGCTGGTCAAGTGTTCCTTATTACAAAGTTACAATCTGATTAACCAAATTATTCAGATAGCAGATCAATCCGTGCGAAAGAAGGCGAACGTCGAGAATTTTCTTTACACTTATTATGACAAGAATTCTAATGATACGGTGACATAAGAATTCTAACAAAACCACCAGTACTGGTGAGCGGAGGTTCATATGTTGGCGTAATAACATTTCAATAATTGGCGACTTGACTACTTTGGGAAAGTATTTTAAAATTTTCGTATGGATTTTGTATGACATTACGTATGAATTTTTTTCTCTTATTTTCTTTCTTCCAAATTTTTCGTTTAGCCTTAACAGTGGGACTGAATCTAAAACACTGGCCTTGTCTACCTCATTGCGCCCGCAAACAAGACACATGAAGAACGGAAAATATCCGCACACCCTGCGAGGCCTATAGACCAATATGATTGAGCCATTAAGCTGCAAATTGACTGTCATAATACCAAACTTTTGTTCGATAAATATGTTTAAATCATTATCCGACCAAAACTTACTCGTGTCTCAATTTCACGTTTCCTCTTCTGGCATTGTCATTTTGCTTTAGGCAGCCAATGGTTTAAACCGATTACCAACCTTAATCTTCGTTTTTTTAAGATAAGATCGATTTAGTCTAATTTATGTTAGTGAATTGTTCGATAACACAAAAAACACCTAATACCCTCGTGTGGTTCCAGAGTCGCTGGAGTTGGAGCCTTTCCTCGCGCTGGAGCCGCCGATGTCCGCCACCGACTACGGTTTCTGCCTCGATCACGACGAGGGTCTCTCCGAGCTGTTCGACTTCGAGTTCTGAACCGGCGTGAAGTTCTTATTGACATTCTAATGATCGTTCGCGAGATGGTGGCAAAAGTTCCCGTTCACGTTCTTGCAATAATAATACGCAATTTATTTATTTTCAACGGTGACTTTCGTGGCTGGAATGTGTTTATTTTGACATAACATAGTTGAATACCAGCACTTTAATTTATGTATTTTAGTTTGTGTTCCAAGCGGTGAAATAACAGATTATTATTTACACTATTTTACTTTTCTGATGCAACTGGAATATACTAAAGGTCAATATATATTCACGACGAAATTTTAAGTGCCATCGGAAAACTTGATACGTTTTTAAAGATACTACTCTAACGTTTTGAAATGATGAATGATCACAAGAACCTGAAGGTATATTCGTGCGATCACCGTCTTCACGCAGCTTTCGTATATTGATGATAAATGTGAACTCTTATTATTTTTGGGTTAAATTTGCTTATATCATCGTCATGCTCCCGCCTCATGGCCTCGTGCTGAGTAAATTTGTATCTGATGAGTGTGACGTCTGCGTGATAGCTGAGTAATTGAATCTTTGTTACTTAGGAATGAGAAATCATATGTGGCGTCGTATATTGTAGGTAACCTAGCCCACAATTTTATAATTTCCGAGCATTGAACATTTTCAATAATTTAATTTCGAATTGAACATTTTCCGAGCACTACCAAAGGTAAGGTATATATATATATAAAACAATCGTTATTAATTTGTGTACCTGTGTATCATGTTGAAGTTTTGTCCATTCTTATAACTAACGCGTTAGTTAAGCAATTATTCGATTTGACAGGGATAACAATTGTACAAATATTGATATAAAAACTAAAAATGTCACATAAATATTAGTATGTAAGGTCATGTGTTACGTATGTTATTTTGTACGATTGTAATCATAAAAAATCTTCGAGTAACATTTAAAAAAATTATCAAATTACATGAAGTGCTTAAATTAAAACAGGCGGGAGAACAATCAGGTTCAAGATTAACATCTAATACCATAACTGCAATAAGACTTGACTCATTAAATATAGAAATAATAAAAACGCGGCTTTAATTTGGATGTTATTTATATTTATTAATTTATTGAAAATATCGAGAACAGATCAAGATCAGGACAGCGACCGATTAACGGTCTTAACAACGTCAAAGCGATATACTTCGACATGTACTTTAATGATGTATGAAAAACAATGATGTACATATTTGGTTTTGGCAGCAGTGTTATTAACTAAGTTGTTTATCCACCAAAGGACAGGTCAAATAGTAAAATTAAACGAAATATCGCCAAGATGTCGTATCTCTATAGGCAGTCGCATCCCATATCTAATATGTTACATAAAATGTTTATATCAATCTCGCCAATGTTTTAATCTACGCCCCTTTTCTTGAATTTCGTAATATAATTTTTAATCACCTATAAAGATGGGCAAAATTCAATCTAGATTTATGATTGTTTGGTAATCTTCATTATGAATGAAAGATTATACATTTTCTTCATGATTTTTAATTTCTCTTGAATAGACTGTGTATGGTGAATTCATAGATTTAAAAAAATTGTGTATACAACATGTTATCATGGATTTTGACCATCTCTTCACCGATGATCACTTTCTTGTTTGCTTTGTTTTTGTTTGATAAATTACTTATTTTCATTCGTATTGCGTATGTATGTAGTATGTTATTTAATTTGCTTTTGTTTTAACGTTTTGTAAGTTATTTGTATAGACGGCCATTGTAATATAAATTTAAAAGAATTTATACATGTAAATTAATTATATCAGTAACACTTACTGCTAATATCTATTGACTGAGGAGTTGTATCGTATTTGAAATAATTCATAGAGTGTAAAGTATAAACTTTGAGTGCCGGTCCTAAGGTTTCTTTTACAGTAAAACCGTTAAGGTACTCGATACTAAATGCTGGCCGTATAACGGTTAACATAGTATGCTTTGTAAAATTTATAAAATTATACTTTCTTAAACATGAATCATTTATTAAAACATATCTAGAACAGGTTCTAGAAGTGTATTTATTGTTATTTTAACTTAAAAGCTCTTTTGAACTTGTTTAAGAATATGTTTATATGTATTTTTTTTTGTTAAAATATGGAGCTCCGTCTCCAGTGAACGATCCATATAAATAAATGTTCCTTGATGGATGTGTGTGTGTGGTGTGTGTGGAATGAGGCCTACGAGAACTCAACGCGACAACGGCAAGATAAACTATTTATATGTTTCTTTATGATTTTTGTGTATTTCACGCGTTTGTAGAAAGGGTAGATTCTGAGTATCCGCTGTGAACTTTGATATTGGTAAGTTACTTTTAGAATGACTGAATTAAATATTAACCTTATGCTATTGTGTCGGGCTGAAAATATTACAAAATAGTTATAATTATTTATTTTTAGAAAAATTTGCAACTGGTCCAAAGTAAAGCATATAAACGTTGATCGTCCGCTAAATAAATATTGTTTATGTTATATTTTCAGTTTTATCTGTGTAGTGGTAAGGTTAAAATTTAAATTAAGTATTTGCTTAAATCCGCTCTATGTGAATAATTTATAACTGCGAGATTTAGTATCTACGACAATAGCAATGAAGTTTGTGTTTGTGGTTCTGTTCAGTTCTTTTTAGATCGTGTAGTTGGCTGTTTTTTAAAATGACTAATGCCATCAGATATTTTTGATTTATAGAAGACGTAATAGTTGTCATTTTTGGTTCGTATATCTATGCGGTTTCTTAGAATCTGAGCAATCTCTACAATATTGTCCAATAGATTGTACATCAAAAAAAGCGTATAAATATTACGTCGCGTTGTGTGTGGGCGGCGCGGGCGGATGTAAATATTATATAAAGTCGCTCAAACGGTGCCGACCGCGCCCGTGTACATATTAAGATGTAATGAACGGTGATATTTTAGCGGCCTTCGATTTTACTTGTAAACCTAGTTCTAGTACCGTAGTCGAGCGTTCGCGCGTATTATGATGTGGGAGGGCTATCGTTTTCGTTCGTAACTGATTTGCCAAATATTAAGACGATACCTGAATTCTTCTAACATGTTTGTTTGGTTGTTGTAGGTACGTTTAGTTGAACTTGTAAATAACCACCCACGGAGCGAAGCCGAGCGAATGTCAATGTATATTTTATTAGATATAAAGTCGTGTAAAAATCGTGAAACACGCACTCGGCAGTTAATGTTGAATTATTTAGAACTAACGTTCATGTATGATGATATGGCGTGTAACATTGAGCTTTATGTAAAAACTACTAATTTGTAATTTTTCGGAAACGCTGCCGTGTCGTATTTCGAGTGCATTACCTCTTTGATGTGCGTCCGCGCGGCTTCGTACTCCGTCGTATAGTGTACAGCACAAAATGTCACTGTAAAAACCTATTGATAAGAGCATATCAAAATAATTATAATGTTAGTATTAATTTGGAGGCATGCGGGAACATGTGTGTGAAAGAAACACGTGATGTGATTTGAGTGATGAGGTTTAATTCTTCGAGGTGCAATGCTATCACATAAACGTGCATTTAAAATGTAATGTGCTCAGTGTACTAATTAGAATTTTACCTCATTTGCGCTATAAACCCTTCAAGTAATTTTTATTCAAAATAAAATATTGAAACCTTGAATCGATATGTAAATGAAAGCGCGGATTCCATTGTTAAATTGTACACGCACAGAAATTTTACAAAATGAACATAATTTTATTTATATTTATGTTGCACGGGAATCCTTATCATGCTTGTACGTAGCGCGACTAACCGCCAAATCTCCGTTAAGAGTATTATTAAATTCAATTTTATTTATTATATTTTCGAACCTTTGCTATTGGGTGCTACCCAATATACACTAATAGTAATATTATACACCGCAATCAGTTGGAACTGTAGTAACAATGAAATTAAATCTTTATCCAATGAATTTATAGACGTAATTTTGTTTTGAGATATCGTTAAAAATTTTAATACTTTGATTTCATTGTATTTTATTATTTCGTTATTTTATTGTTCATAAAATCGCACTGACGAGCCGATTGTATTCCTGTCAAATTTGACAGTTATGTTGTCCAATTAAATTAAATAAACGCTGACGACCGTTTTATAATGTAGTCGCCTTGTGGTCACTGTAGACGTTGACTTGTTTGACTACCCGACTACAAAACAGCGTTTCTTTTATTTAGTTTTAAACGAAATGGTTTGTGACACAAATTCTGGGGCCAAAAGTACGAGAAATGGAAGTACAAATTAAACAAGATTTTTCTCGTAATTTAGTTTAAGGGTTTTACGCTACTTCCATCGTTGACAACGATCGATACATTGTAACATTTTATGAGTTCAGACAAAGGCTCGGTTTATATTGGTGCATAGTCGAAGCAGACAAACTAACGTTATTTAATTGCGAGTAAGTTTCAATGTTTTACTATAAAGTGACAATTAGCTTCGATTCTGCTCCGTCCTGAATTGATAATTAAGCGCGACTTAAGGTTCGTTTATCACTGAATGCGTCAGACACGTCGGCTCAGACAAAATAATATTCTTTTATAGAGTATCTATTAAAGTATTTATGTATATTAACGGATAGGACTGGTCAGTTTGTTTGCTCGGTTCATGTTTGTTAGCTGTCTGTGGTTATCAGTTAGAAAGCAAACGGAGTCTATTGGTGTCTCTCCCGCATGTGTCTGACGGTAGCGAGTTTATGCTAGCAGTTTGCTTCGAGTTGACCGTCGACGATCGTCAATGACGTCACAGGCACATCAATTGGTACCGTTGACAAAGAAAGAAGTTAAAGTCAAGTTGCGAGCTGTTATTATTTACGTAAAGCTGATTAAATTAACTTAAAGTAACTATATAACACAACATCAAAAATAATAAAACATAATGGCGACCGGCATGGACATACGCATGCGATGGCGTTGCTAACGGTACTCGAGGGTCTGCTAAGATGTGTGATGCGTTGCAGCAGGGTAGGAGGTACCACTCGAAGTAAACAGCTGGTAGGAATAAACGAGCCTATTATGTTGCCATCTTGTACCACCTACATTAGAGGTAGTATAAATTAATCAAAACACCAATGCACAATACTCATATCAGAGTTCTGAATACTTTCATATTTTTGTAACTTAAAAACAGCTGGGTATAAACCGTTAAAATTTTAATAAGGTTAAAGTAATTGCGTAAATTCGGATTTTAAGTGAACTCTTAGTTGCCGGAGTAGATTCCTTTCGGTTTTTTTTTATCTTTTTTTAGTTAAAAACTGCGATAAGCTTCATACGATGATATACACCAATACGGTAGTATTTGTAGTTCTTTGTATTATATTTCGTACATTGTTATGATATGAGTAAGAAAACTATAGTACGACATTTGGTATTTTTGCCATTCGCAATAACTTGTGCTCAATAGAAAATGGGCCTACTTGGAAGTTTGATTATCATAATATGTACTATGCTTCATATTATAATAATTATTATTTATTAAAAAAAATATGATTGCGTCAACTAAGGCAGGCCTATCTTTTAGTGAGGAGAGGTTGCTGGGAACCTACCTTACAATATCAGTTTGTAATTTTATTCGTATATTTTGTATTCTTTGGAATATTAAAAAATTGATCCTTAGATGAATTTCCAGAAATCTATTGTTATAACCACAGCGGTATAAATGAATCTGTATGATAACGGTCATGTACATATGTATGTTTTGTAATATAAATATTATTATTTCTTTGATCCAAACCGATTGTTTTGTTCGAATAATTGTACTTTAGCTAGCATATATAACAATTACAACGAGGTTTTTCCATTACGTCATTAGACGGTCCACAGGGTCCTAATGTAGTATTCAGACAATATTTGTTGAGGTGTTACGTCACGGTTTCATTGTTTTTGACTGTCAAATAGAGTTCAAATAAGAACATCGGCGCCATTTGTTGCCAGTAAAAAATAATGATACCGCGGTGTTCACTTTAACCCATTCGTGTGTCGGACCGACGTTCGCTGCGATATGTCTCACAGATGTGATGTTCTTTCTATTGAATTTTTATTGCGTCTAAACTTTGTACTTACTTTTATGTTATGTAATGTAACACACTGTCGCTTCTGCTGATGTGTATATATAATGCAAGCGGTGTCGATAAACGGACAGTATCCAGAAGACATAAATATGTTATGATGCATACAAACTGTCCTGTAACTAAATCAAGACTTTTTGACGGTATGTTTTTGTGTAATACTTTGTCTGAGTTTATTATATGAAAATTGAAGGTGCAATGTTACAATATATGTATGTATCTATGGAGTGCGAGTTTCGGTGTGCGGACACGCTTGTCTTGTCCCCCAGTTGTTGTTGGTGTGAGGCCTGTTCGATTTGTATTAATTTGTGTTGGAAGACTGAGGTTGATTATTCCAGTTTCGACGAACGTGCGAGTTATTTGTTGATTGAATTTAAATATAAAGTCATATATATAGTTAGGTTATATTTTTTAATAAATATAATATTGAGATATGTAATATATTCATGATTTTTATTTCATACACATTCCCTTATGTTATTGTACACTATCGACTAGTTTGGTTTATATACAAATATGGAGTGTCTATAATTGAACTTAATTAAATTTACAACTGGTATTTTTGGGCGGATAAATTTGAGGTTGCGTCAGTACAGTAGCCTCATACTCTTTGATTTTTAAAAAGATACTTGACTCATTCATTACATTAATCAGATTCAATTCAACTTTATTGATTCCATGTGGTTTACGTAAAGAAATGTTTCTATACATGAAAAGAGTAGAATAAAATGAATAAGATTTACAAACATAAAATTAAAATTATGAGTTGTCCCCTCTATAGCAAATCCAAGTATACCTACCTAATTTATGAGTGATAAATAGGGACGGATAATGTATATAAACAAGTTATTCTGCGCTGGTTACCGTAGATTTACTATCTATCTGTAGGTAGATGTGATTTTCTTACATATCTATTTCTTAGAGTAAAATTAAAAATATATATCATTTACTTGATGAATTTGTCAATGGGAAAGTTCTTGAAGGATTGACTCCAAATATCTGTGAAGGCGGTGCTTACTAGATCGTTGATCAAAGGTCGTATCACAGCGAAACCTGGTTTCCAGGTAAAATTGATGAGCCGGTCTAACATGCCTTCTGCAAAGAAGAAATTCTCTTTGTAAAGATTTCGGTTGCTCCGCACATAGTATCCATACCATAGAACATGTTTTGTAAACTATTTTGGTGCGTTTGCAATGATTACCCAAGATAACCCAAGACAAGACAAAACCGTTACATATTTGGTAAGACTATAGATGTATTACTTTTATTGACCTTGTCCAGAGTTACGTGAGTATAAGATGCGTTTCGTTATACATTGGTTGTTGGTAAGGTATAGTGTTACAAATAAATAAAACTATTGCAGTATTGAACTAGATATAACGTCAGAGTGCTTAGTGTAAGTTTTTTAGACGTTTACGTTCACTGTAGATCGTGAGCGCGTTAAGATTTTAGTATGGAATCCGGTACAGCGCCCCTAGCGATAACTACCAAGAACTACAAATCTCCATACAAAATCTTAACGCGCTCACTAGTGAACGCGTTAGCTTAAAACTTACGGTTACTACTCTGAATTCACCCACTTCTGGACGTGTCGACGCAGTGTCCGGCCGCTTTTCAAAATTAGCAAGGAATTGTTATGAGAATCGCGTGAATTCTGCATCGGGTGAGAAGGATAAATGGATATGTTGGAGCCTATTAATTTCAGGAGATTTATCCTATAAATCTGCACAAAAAAATCAAATTACACGTTATATTGCTATATAACGTGTAATTTTATTTTTTTGTGCGGCATTATACTGAAACCTTGCTATGGTAATAATATGGTATTCCAATAACGGAAGGCTGCATACTTTCTATGCAGCCTTCCGTTACTATTCCGGGGCTATAAAACAATTATTAAAAAGAAATAGTACCAAGTATGCCGTTGCCCCGAAGTAGATTGCTGACGTGTATCTCCATGTCTCCTATGTGGTCCACCTCGACGTTTACAGAGACCCCCTCGCCGTTCCGCTTGATTCGGGTAGTCTGCGAGTAGTCGCGTAGCGTTAAGTTCCAGCGTCCAGTTCGTATCGCGCCTAGTCCAAATGCGTCTCCCTTGAATCATAATTATATCTATTTTAAACCCAGAATACTTGGATAGTTAGATTGATAATAATGCAGTAAATTTTACATTGTTACTGACCTTAAATTCATAGTCTCCTTCCAGCCATTTTTCAGGGAAATATTGAGAGTATATAATTCTTTGGTTATCCCAGTCGGTTCTGAAAAAAAAAATACATTTTATTTTGTTATAAGTTATTGTCCTGCGAATTCATTCATTAATTTGCTCTCGCGCTTTTGTTATGAATGAAGTTTTACTTGTATTTGGTGACAGTAGATGTGGTCCAGCCCCTTTCATATACATCATGAAGGGTTAGTGTGTAGCCCATACCTAAGATAGCCCTTACTTGCTTCACTTCCTTAGCGTAGTGCGGATCGAACGGAGCCACACCCATCTCGGGTATACCTGAAAGAGACAGTTTGGTAATATTAAATGGCAGAAGAAATAGGTGTTAATTGTTAACTCCTTTGAATAGCGAGTTTACGCGTAAACGAATAGAACTTTACACCTACAACTGTTAAGAAAGTCATGAAAAATAATGAATTTAAAGGTTTTAGAGCTAAGTACTAGTACTATTTACACAAGATCGTGTGGCTGAAATTGGGTTTTGTTTGGTCTATGAATCATTAAGGCTGGGCGTAAAGACAAAATACTGCAGAACCTGGGCATTTGCCTAGGCTCTACCTGGATAGCAGTTCTATTAGATATTCATTATCACTGAAATTATTTAATGTATCATATGTGGTGCCAGTAGGTAGCAGATACAAACGGCTTGTAGGTAGGTAATGTTAGCTACAGCAAGAGTTATGAATAGTTAGGAACGTACCCACTTTGAAGTATGGTCGTATCTTGTTGAAAGCTCTCTTCATGCAGACGTCGAATTCTGTTGAACCCATATGACATGCTGAAAATATCCGTTCTGAAACCAAGAATAGCAACTATTGGACTGATTTTAAAATTAAAAGAAATTTTACGAAAAACAACAAAACCTACGAAAAACAGGAAAAGCGTATGAAAATCACACATTTTCCTAATTCGAATTCGGAGTTTATTTTCTTTCAGACTTTTTAATGATACCAAAACCAGCCAGAACCAGACAGATACAAATTGTATAGCCAGAAAGTTTTTATTACAAGTTTATGCATACTATATGCGAAACGACCTTTTCCCGACCTAACACAATTATTCGTTTTCACATTTGAATAAAGTCCGATGTTCGATGTCTAATGTGTGTGATACAACTTCGTGATTTTGAATTTCTAACTATTATGGAATATTTAAGAAATCATGTTAATTGCACTTCATTCTTTGTTACTACTAGTCTTTGTTTTAGGTGTTCTTGTTGTAAACAGATATGTGCTTATAGTTAAAACACGGCAAATCGCAAATAATTTGGAAGCAAACCTTGAACACACATACATACCGACGTGTTGCACCACGGCCTCCGTGAGAGATGGTTTGCAGTGCCCACCCAACTATTCGGTTTGCGCAATCTTTGTTCCGTTTGCGTAAATAATTTGAGTAAAAATAGTTTGGGCGTGACATAAACATATCATTTAAATTCTCGGTATTCAAGATATCGAAATAAAAGAAGAAAAAAAATACTTTGTATATTATATTTGTGTTGACTCCAAAAAGTTTAATAATAATTAAAATCTACTTAATATATTTATTACTACTTAATATAAGATTTTTGTTCGGCTAATTTTTTGCATGTATATTTTATTTAATCGTTTGAAATATTTTTGTATACATTACAATACAATGTACGACATGTCAATTTGCTGTGTTTCCAAAATTGAATATCATAAATATTATAATATAATGTCTTCTTCATCATATAGCACTATTTGTAAAAGTTCTTATATTAACCGTTTATTACAAGTATATAAAGAATATATTACAAGCTCTGTCTCACTAATAATAATCAAACAATTTAATAGGCGCGTCTTCTTATCTACGGTGCTTATGAATGGTTTTCCCCAGTTCGTCAATTTCAAATGCTAAACTTATTCTTGTGCATTATGAATGATCACATAAGAATAGAATCAGAACTTGAACTTGTTTCTGTTAGTAGTTCGTATAATTGCTCTCCTGAAAATTCTTATTTATACTTAAAAAATATATTAAATTCCCTAAAAGTTTTGCATGTTAATATAAGAAGCATCGGTAATACAGCTAACTTTGAAAATTTGTGTATACTAATGGATAAATTTCAATTTAAAATTGATATAATCATTTTGAGTGAGTGTTGGATAAGTAAATGTCCAAATTTACCAACAATGTCTGGGTATCTCACTTACAGTTCTGAATTTTATACTCAAAATGATGGGGTAGTGGTTTATTTGAGTGATACTATTAAAGCAACAGTCGAAGAACCCGTTATTAAAGATGCAAATTGCCTACTTTTAAAACTGTCTACTGATGTTGCTATTTTAGCGATATACCGCTCTCCGTCTAACAGGAACATTGATAACTTTGCCCTATCATTGGACTCTGTATTGGCTTCATTGCATTCTTTTAAAACTATAGCACTTGTAGGTGACATAAACATAAATATTGTTGCTGACAATAACGATACAAACTCTGATGCATATTTGAACTTAATGGCATCTCACGCTATGTTACCGGCACATCTTTTACCAACTCGAGACGAAAATTGTCTAGACCATGTGATATTAAAGTCGGACAAATCAGCTGTTGTTTTGGTGCTCGATTCTCTTTTTACTGATCATCATCCCGTACTCTTCTGTAATGATTATAAACGAAATGTAAATTATAAAAATCGCAATTGCTCGATGAAACACTTTGATATCCCTACCTCTGTAAAAGACATTGAAGAAGCTGATTTCTCTCCAGTTAACTGTAATATGTCGGCAGAAGGTGCTGCAAATCATTTAGTTGAGATAGTTTCCAACATTGTCAGGGCAAATACTAGAGTTATCATTATACCAAACAGAAAACGTATTCTTAAGCCCTGGATTACCCCTGGCTTGCTTCGATGTATCCGGCAAAGAGACAAACTTTTTCGTAAATATAAGCAAAATCCTTTCAATGAAATCATTAATGTAACTTATAAACGATATAAAAATTTCTGCAACAATCTTCTTAAAAAAATCAAACGTGAATACGAACAAGCACAATTCACTAAGTATAAAAATGATGTAAAAGAAACATGGAATATAATAAAGAAAATCTCAAATATTAACAAAAAAACAAAACCTGACAACCTTCTTTATCTATCTGATGATCCGCAAACATCTGTGAATTTTGTCAACGATTATTTTGTAAGTGTGGGGAGTAGATCAAGATCTGATACTCAGAGTGAGACATCTTTAACGGCTGCAGTAGAGGCAGTACCTATCATTAAGGAATCAATGGTATTATTTCCTACAGATGAATCTGAAATTGATTCTATTATCTTGAAACTTAAACGGGACTGTGCAGTTGGGTGGGATGGCATTCCTGCGGCTTTAGTTATCGCTGCTAGACATGTTTTGGTTCCGATACTGAATTACGTTTTCAACCTTTGTCTGTCGTCATGTACCTTCCCGGATGTTTTTAAGAAAGCCGTTGTTCACCCGATATTTAAGAATGGGGACGTAGACAGTGTGACTAATTACAGACCCATTTCTGTACTTACAGTTTTCTCAAAAATTTTGGAAAAAATAATAAATAAAAGACTGGTTAGTTATTTAGAATCTAAAAATATTATTTCTTCAAAACAATTCGGTTTTAGGTCACAAAAATCAACAGAAGATGCAATACTTGAACTTACAAGCTCAATAGTCAAGAACTTAAACTATAATCAGAAATCTTTATGCCTTTTCCTTGACATATCGAAAGCTTTCGACACTGTCTCCGTGCCTCTCTTGTTGGACAAACTGCAGCGATTGGGCATACGAGGTTTGGTCCTTGAAATGTTCCGGAGTTATCTGAGTAATAGATGTCAAAGTGTTTTCATTGGCAATACTATAAGCAACGATAAGTTTATAACATCTGGCGTTCCTCAGGGTAGTGTCCTTGGACCTACCCTATTTTTGCTATATATTAATGATTTATGCCAACTGCCTCTTTCAAACTGTAAAATTGTGACATATGCTGATGACACAGCCATTCTCGTGCAGGGTCATGACTGGGAGGAAACTCGTGTCCGTGCTGAGCTAGCTTTAAGTGTAGTCAAGGAGTGGCTAGCAAATAACCTCCTTACACTTAATGCTAAAAAATCTTGCTTTGTCACATTTGCTCCAAGATTGCAGTATCAGCCGGGACAATCTTTCAACATTCGAGCTCACCTACGTACATGCATAGATTCTTCTGATCAGGCATGCAATTGTGAAACAATTTCTCGAGTCTCCTCTGTAAAATACTTGGGGGTGACTGTTGATAGTGTGATGTCATGGAGAGAGCATATAAAATCCGTGACCTCTAAGATTAGGAAACTAATTTTTGTTTTCTGTAAACTTAGGGGTAGTGCTAACGGGGCTACTCTAAAAACTGTTTACTTTTCTTTAGCCCAGTCGATTTTGACCTACTGTATAACTCTTTGGGGTTCTGCTAGAAAGACACATTTATTGCAGTTGGAACGAGCACAAAGGGCTGTACTAAAAGTTATGGCTTTTAAACCTGTCCGATTCCCTACCAAAGATCTACACGAATTATGGAAAGTACTCTCCGTTCGTAAATTGTTTGTGTTTCATCTATTACTGCGTAAACACAGAAGTTGTCCCTATGATCCAAATTTTGTTTTAAACACTAGACGGTCAGACAGAGTTTGTACCATAGAAAGGTGTCGAATTAAATTAATAAAATACCATTACTACTATTTCAGCTCCATTTTATATAATAAGGTTAATTATAAATTAAATATATATAGTCTTCCACTTCGAGTTTGTAAACAAATTTTAAATGAATGGTTACTAGAACTAGATTATTATGACGTGGAATCTCTCATTATTTAAGTGCATTGTATAATTTTTTGTCGTTCTTATTTTTGTATTTTCCTTTATTTGTGGCTTTTGTTTGTTATCTGTTCGAGGTGGGCGCTAATATCTGCAACACAGTCTTGGACTAATGCAGCTATTAACGTGCAATTGATTTTGTACCTATTTTACTGCACCAAATAAAGATTTATTATTTATATGTATGGAACTCTCGGTCCGCAAATCTGACTCGCTTTCGATCGTTTTTTTAAACCTAATATCTAAAAAACTAATGTTCTTAATGATTGACATTAGAGGCTAAAGCATACGTAATATGTTTTTCTGGTGTTAGGCGTAAAAAGTAAACGTGGAAAACGTTTTTCTGGGTATTATTTGCTCAGCTCGCCTTATTACTGCTAATCATATACAATATGCAATGCAAATAATGCAATAGCAAAATTACACTTCAAAATAAAATATGCTACATATACTTATGTCTAATAGTGTTATTTATTAACTAGTGGACGCCCGCGACTTCGTCCGCGTGGAAGTCGGTATCCCGTGGGAGTGAGAAGTTTTCCCAGTAAAAAGTACCCTATGTGTTATTCTGATGTATAACCTATATTGCTGTAAAGTTTTATCCAAATCCGTCCAGTAGTTTTTTCGTGAAAGAGTAACAAACATCCATACATCCATACTTACAAACTTTCGCCTTTATAATATTAATAGGATAAACAAGGTTTAGCGTTGGAGTAAATTAACGCTGACACTGCACTTAGTAATAGTCAAAATTCATATTATTAAACAGAGATTTACCAAAAGTCAATCTAGTACGAGGTTCTACGGAATTAATATTCACTCTTAGAAGTTAGTAGGTTTACTTACTCTGTATAATATGAATTTGGACTAATACTAAAATTGCAATTTTAGCGTAAACTTACTCTGACGCTAAACCTTGTTTATTAATAGCACTGTATTAGCACCCTTGGATTCATGATTTCATATAGATGATAATACAGATAAAACATTAAAAAACCTAATAACAAAATTGAGAATTGCCGTACTACATTAACATTATTGTTTAAAAGGTTCAAATTTAAAAAAAAAGTTGTGTTGCCAAAAAATATGTATATTTTTTGTACTGTCAATGTGTCCAATAATCTTCGGTTGAAGGTAGTTATACT